CTTACATTTTTTCCATTGGCAGAAAGTTTCCATAGTAACCGTTCTAATTTCAATATAATACATTTCCTATCAGTTTACAATTCCACTCTTTAATTTCTAATTATATTTTTATGGTGTTTAAACAAAAATCTAACAATATAGCCAAAAAAAATAATATTATGAAATAAAGTCACCTTCATTTTTTTTTAATTACATAAACATTTATTGGTTCATTTATATCACTTACACAGTTTATTCACTTTATAAGTTTTTTTTTAATCAGTTTACAATTCCACTGAACAGTTTGGGGCTCTGCACCTTCACTTACACCTGAATTTGTCTATAGAGGGATATGTTAGAATAAGTGTAGTGCAAATTGCTCATGCTTGGCTAAGAAGCACAACCAAAGGGTAATATTAAAAATGAGAGCATTTAAAGCTGGAACATGGGGACAAGCACAATGGTTAAGTCAGTGTGCACACAGTCTAAGAACGTGGGGAAAAATGGGTTTGGATGATTTGCAAAGACGTCAGTTATGCACGTTGATCACGATTGCTATGAACGAATGATTCACATTTAACAACAACATCAGTATCTGCACACATGAACACAGCTGGGATGTCCAGGGGGGCACTTCAGGGTCACATTACAGTCAGACTAAGGTCAAGGTTCACAATTACATCTATGATTTATACATTTACAATTAAACAACAACAGCATACAGAGAAATACGCAATATATACATAATAACTTCACTATTGGACAAAAACGGGATTCATCCCGCCTGAATGCGTCAGCCTGACTTTAAAACCTTCATATATTCCTGTTTAAATTCTCCCACTGAGAAGGGCAGACAATGCTGCCCCACAGTGGCAGACTAAAGTAATACAAACGTCATACTGACGCACATGCACCAGAACCAGGCAACATGCTTAAATGATATTAATGTTACATTACAGCCACATGGAAACAGACCACAACACATGCCCATCACTGAAGACACAAACAGCCACAGCAGAGGAGCGGGTACGAATGTTTGGTCAGCTGAGTGAGGGTAGAATAACAGGATAAGGAAAAGGATGCTGACGTGGACAGAAGGCACTTTGGAAAGATAAGGAGTCCCACAGTTACAGTAATAATAACAGTAAAACAAAATAAATAGATAAATAAAATCAGCATCTCTGAATTGCAAATGTTTGAATCTTGAAGTGAAAAACAAAAGGATTAAATAATAATTTCACATAAATTAGAGGCAAAAGATGGTTAGCTGAGCATAAAGCCACAAATCATTGTTATATCGACCTTTTCGCATCGATAAATAACTTGATATGATCTTCAGTGAGCTGAGGAGAGGAGCTGGAAGGCGGTTAGCCACGTTTGGTCAACAGCAGGCTTCTGTTTCTCCTTTCTGTAGCTAAGTTAACCCAATCATAACCCAATCATTGCTGTTGTTGCGACTTCATATTTAATTTACAGCTTTGAGAATGGATTCATTGAGTAAGGTTGTAACTGTAGTTGTTACCACCGTCTGTAACTGCCGCTCGAGCTAGCGCGACATAAAGGAAGCGGATGCCTGTGCAGCTTTTTTAGGAAGTTATATCATTTATGCTTATTTCATTGCAAAAAATTGAAATCATTGTCGTTTTAAAGAAAAATATAGTTGTTGATTGATGATGTCACCTATAATCTAAGCCAGGTTAGCTCTTTAGCTCTTTTGTGTTACAATAAGAAGAACAAAAGATGTGCTAGCCGATCCAAAAGTTAGCTTTTTAGCCAAATGCTAAGTGAAGCGAGTGAAGCAGTGTTAATTGTTGCGTGTACCATCTTTGTGCGCACTGCCCTAAAGAGATTGCATGGGAAAATATTGCAATAAAGTTTTGTTTAAATGTAAATTTTATCAAACAGTTTTTGTGTATTTACAGAAAAAAA